CCAACTCTGATTCCGGTATCCAAATATCGACTCCGACTCCTTCGGGCAGAACTGTCGATTCACACAGACTCCGACTCTGCAGACTAGTGCAGCCCTGGTAAGTCTGTGGAGTCGATGACTTTTCGGTGACGTTCGACTCATACTCCGACTACAGCTTTTAAAAATCAACCGACTCCGAGTCGGAACAGAACCGCTGGCTCTGACTACAACTCCGGGCGCAGCCCTGGCCCAAGATAGCCGCCTAAAACAACTTTGGTGTGTGATCTTTTTCGTACATTGTTAATGTTATTTTAAACAAGGAGTGGAAAAGGGAGACGAAGCCTTCTCAAACAAGGATCTCCTGTTGCGGATCAATCAGCTGCTGGAACAGAAAGGCATAAACACCACGCATCTCATTTCATCGTTTTCCTAACGACTCCAATGTAAGCACTGATCAATGCAGTGCAGGCATCGATGTGACATTTGTGTACGGGGACCCGCAGTTGCTACTGTACAGCGACCCTGAGTAAATTGTCCCAGCACCCTCACAGGGAACAACGATAAGCTGTCAGAGGGCACGCACAGAAAACCTCAGCTGCTCTTGTACAGGGACCGGCAGTCGATATCAATGTTATCGGTTGTTACTGGACAGGACAGACGGTAAGACTGGGGTTCGTGTACAGTAGCAACTGCGGGTCCCCGCACCAAGTTTGAGTGTTATCCGTCCAGCCGTTCTTGAGATATGGAAGCGGCACCCCGCACGTGCGCACGTGCAGTAGCACCCCCATAGTGACACATGGAAATGCATTGGCCACTGGGTGCCTAACTATTGACGAAGTTTTACTGTAATGGGCCCAGCCATTGCTGAGTTACTTCATGTGGAACAATTCCGACACCCCTAAGTTGGCACGTGACACGTGCCGTAACATTAACTAAGATGAAGAAAATCGGGCGAAATTCGGAGAAGAAGGAATAAGCCTACCAAATATGTATGACATATTGTCAAACTGCTGTACCATTGTGAGTAAATGGCGATATAAAAGCTCGTACAAGCCGATGGGACTGGGCGTTTCAATACACACCGTCTTACACACTTTATTTTCGTTATTACCTAAAGGCTGCTTGACGTTTTTGGCTTTCAAGCATTTAAGACATTTTTTGTCGTCTCAGGTCCAGTAAAATTACCTCCAACTCGTGGGAATATGCACTTCGAGCCAACTAACACACCACACCCACGTGTGTCATAATGCTGAGAGATGGCGTTCACTCGGCTTGCTCCTAACTTACGATAATTCTCTCGCTAGATGGCAGGCCTGATCCCAATGTCGCGGATCCCAATGTTAATTTCCACGAGACACCAATCCAGTGTTATATCATCCATGGTGGTGCGGTAGACCACGCCCAAAGCCGTGCGTCCTCCCGGTGTCATGTGATAGCCCGGGGCTGCCCGCGGGGATGCGGTAGACCGCGCCCAAAGCTGCGGCCCCGGCTTGGGTCAGCGCACGCTGCCCCGACTCGGCTACCTCACGTTACCGGGGCCCTGGCTTTGGGCGCGGCTTCTGCTCATACTTTGTGGTGCGGTGGTGGTGCGTCGGGCTGCGCGCTTTGACTTCGGCCAAGAAAAATGCGTCCGCTGATCATTGTCATTTCTGCCACTTGCGTGTGGTGAAATGGGGCCATAACTTATGAGACGGCTTTTTCATATCAATTATTTTACATAAAATCATATTTCAAACCATAAATAATGTTCGACAGCCAAATAAAAGAAACAATACCAATACGGGCTTACAGTTTAAGGCTCGACATTGTGTTGTCTACGATTAGACAGCTGATAACTCATTCCCGTACGTCGTATGGTCGTAACACTATAATGACCTTTGCTTATTGTCACATGTGCGCCGCATTCGCGATTGTTGCCGACGCATGTTTGCAGGTGATCCCACTACAGTTGTTATACATATCTAAAAACCGATAAACTTTTAGGCGAAAAAGGCACTATTCCAGGCCCATTTTTTATTTTTTTTTTGCGATATTAGGTAAAAACAGAAGCTTCTTATCCTAGGAAAAATAAAATGGGAAATCTTTCAAAGGTGGCACACTACCTTTAAATCTAATTCTACCTATGTTATGTTGCTTCGACCTGACGTGGGCATTGGACATTGAGATCTAACTAGCCTAGCGCCAGTGGTAGTCCGTATTGCACCATGCGTAATTTATTGCGACCACCAGTCTATCGACTGTAGACGGAAATAAATCAGAAGCAATGCATCAATGACAATGCACCGGCGACATTACATCAATGGCAATCCGTCCAACGTAATATATCAATGGCAATGCACCGGTGGTAGTAAATCAATGGCAATACGTCGAAAGTAACGTATCAACGCAATATATCAGCACACGTAAAAGCCGGGACGAACGTCTTGGCGTCGGGCCGGCTATACGGTAAGCACTGGGTCCGCATCGATCACCCTTCCATCGCCTTCCACCAGCAGGTGGTTGGGGGGCCGCTCCCCCTCCCCTTCCTCCCCCCGGCACCACACACCAACACACTCATCAACTCTGACACCGCGGCCGCCGGGGGTCTCAAACCCGGCCGGGCGCTGCTGGCGCTCCGGCGCCGTGCGGCCAGGTTTGGGAGCCCCTGGCACCGGCCGACCGGTCTGCCCTGCGGCGCTACGCTCGTTAGCCGGGTGGCCGGTGCTGCGGGAACGACGGTGTCTCTGGCCGTGTACACAGATGGTCTGGGAAACATTACTGCCCGCCCGGCCGACAGCCGACTATGATAGTTGTGTCCGGCGGGAATATTATCGGAAGGAGGCCCCTGATGACACCTTCTCAGGAAAGCGCGCCAATGGCTCTCGTGGCGGGAGGAGATAGACGTGCAGGCAGGAACGATTTGGGAGGGGAAAATGTGCGTTACACGCAGCTGCTTGATGAGTCCCCGGAGGCTTGGGTTGTAATCAAAGCACCCCAACGCAGAAAAGTAAAACATGGAGAAGCATTCTAGTGAAGCACGTTATCTATTACATTTAGGCACTCGATTATCGAATATTATTTACAGGGAATGGAGCATACTTTTATTCGAGAATAAATGGCTTAGAAATTTAATATCATGGAAACCGATTTCCTGCCAGGAGCTCTAGCACTTTCCGTTGACGCCTATTGTTCTGTGATGTTACATCCCGATGTCGGTGGCCCAGTTGGTGAAGTTTTTAACCTCCCGCTGCACACTGGTCGGAAACGCTCCAGCGAGAGGCCAGCGGCCTTTCCGCAAAAGTTTTTTGCTTGTTATTCCAACACTAGAGAAGCAAACTTCATAAAACTTTGCATACCTTCTCTGTCATATGTAAGCTATCATTTGGATGTCAAGCACTAAATATATGACGTGAATCTGTTAAGTTATGACGTCATAATTGAGTATAATACAGGATCTAGCACCACTTTAAGTCAACAAGGGAAATTGGGAGCTGCTATTCGGGCACCGGGAATGGTTTCATGCACTCCTTGCAAGGTCCAGTGCTTCACTTTAGCATTGTTGACTTTGCGTGACGTCATTTATGACGTCACTAAGGCCATATCAGTTTTTCGTCAATAACTCCTGATCAGATGGAGCTAGAGAGTCGGGAAAGCCACCATTGGACTCAGGAAGACCTGCCGAATCGAATGATATACGATATGACCTCCTTCAACCATTTTCGTGACCTGAGGGGCTCCGACTTGACCTTGACCCGAGGTTAACACCTTAAGTTGACTTCATCCGAACACCAAGTATAGCATTCAACGCGCCTGAGCTAGACAAACACGATGATGCCAAAATCGCGGCAGTGCGACCATTTTTGGCAAAGTAATTAACCTAAAACCGAGCCCGTGCCTTGTGGCACTTACCTGACCTAAGAGGCCACTGGCTGACCTAAGACCTTAAAATCGGGTAGTACCTAATTGTTGCGTCTTATAACGGCACACAAGCTCGTTTTTTTCCGCGAGGCTCTAGCTCAATTAGAGGCGAAACGGCGAGGGAGTTGTACCAACCCTCCCCGGTCAATATAGAAAACCAATCGGTCCGGCCAGGGTTAAATACCGGAATTGTGATCTAATGTAAAAAGACGGCCCAAGGTAACCCGACGTCAGTGACAGGTGTCCTATATTTGCAGCGTCTTATATTCACGAAGGTTTCAATTTCCACTCATTCTTCAGCCGAGTGATGGCTGTCAATAGCAAGGCTCTCTAAATGCAAGCCGTAATCGCCACGCAATATGTGGAAGGCTTTTGATGTCAATGCATACATAAATGCATACATAAAACGCGCTTTTCACAATATTCATAAGCTCAAGCGCATCTGTTTTTAATGACCAGTCAACTACGCATGGATGCGTGCAGACCACACAGGTCAGCGTAAGCCGGGCGCGGCGGCCGAGCCGAAACTGGGGCGGGGCGGGCGGTACTTGGGTAGGAAGAGCGGCTCCTGCAAATTTTGCGCAAATATGCGCAGTTAGCTTTTATGTTGCCCTGGTGTAAATGTAAATCCTGCTTCAGCTCACAAAAAATCAGAGTGGGACTAGATGGGACTACCTGTTGTTTCCTTACCTAAACTGTGCAGTTATATTCCAGAATCACTGTAGGAGAGCCTTCATAAAAAAGCTACAGTAAATCTTAGTTAGGGAAAAAGCATACCAAAAATTTTGCACTGACCAGTCGGCAACTTCATAACGAACATTTTGATGCATAATATGTGGGATTTCAATTTGGTGTCTATCAGCAATAAGACTCTGAATATCCGGCTCAAGAAACCTCTTGCTCCGCGTCAGTTTCCGAGTTCTGGGATACCCCATCTTCGGGGGCTGATTACAGTTATTTTTGGTCACCCGGATTAGTTTTTGGCCTAAGTATAATAATTTGATCAATTTCAAATCGATCTACATAAAAAATAATCCGAAACTCCAGAATCGCCCGAGGCCTCTCGTGAGGGCGTTTCCGACCAGTGTGCGCTGGCGCTGACACCACCCATCCTCTGTCCCCAGGTCAGGATGTTGGCGGCCCGCCTGCTGCTGACCCTGCTCTCGGTGACGGTGATGACCTCGTTCGCCTGTCCCAAGGCCGAGTTTCGGTGTCGCAGCGGGCGCTGCATACCTCAGAACCTGTACTGTGACGGCAGAGACGACTGTGCCGACAAGTCGGATGAGCCGCCGCACTGCACACGTGAGTAGAGGCGATGGGACGAGACCCTCCCCTATCCTATTGGAGACCCTCTGTTACTCTCGAGACCCTCCACTGTCTGATGGGGTACAATACCAACCACGTGGAGCGCCCTGCACTAAGATCAACATTGCACGCATTTATTCATTTCTTTAGTTCCTCCAATCATCTCCAGGATGCTGTCATTCAGTGAAGTATACGGACACTGCTTCAGATGCATATTTGTTTATGTCTGAGTCCGGTATCGCCTGCAGTACCGCCATGCCGCCACAAATGGAAAACGGAGCCACTGTTGGTGATGGTTATGTCCAGCATGCAATACATCTAGCCTAAGGCATGCTATCCCTTCGACACAGAATTCTTCATGCCGGGCTCTCGTCAGAAGCTCGATAAGCCCGAGCTCAGACATGCCGTCGGTTCTGAGTCGCCGCAACATGGAGAACGTTTATTATTTTCATGAGTGGCCAGATACATACTTTTTGTTTCTGAGCACTGATGTCAACAACTTTTTCGTCAAATTTATCACAACTGTCATTCACCAGACAGAAATGTTATGAACATTGTCAAAAGACGTACTGTTCAAAGCTTCTTTTTTCACAGGAAAAAAACGATGCGTCCTTTCCTCTGATATTCTTAGTTTCAGTAGGCAAAAAACTCCTCCACTCGCCAGTTCCAGTCCAGTCCGGCACAGAGCTGCCGTAATTAACTCAAATATAAGACTACCTGTCTTCAACAAAAGTTACCAGCCATTTTTGCTACAGAGCACGCTAGCTAGCCCCCAGCAGTGTTTTCACCTGCGCGCGAAAGATATTTCTGCGTTGTTGCGTGTGGTAAACTGTGCGTGTTCCCCCCATAGTGAACAGGCGGTGATTTGTTCCAGGATTGCCCTAGGGACGATGCCGTCCATTACGCTCGTCCCCTAGCCCCTCGCCTGAATGCGAGATAATTTTCTGATTGATTGGACAGCCAAAGTGGGTTAGAATGATCGATGTAAATGTAGTCGGTCAGAGGTTTTGCCACGGTTGACGTTAGAGGTGGAATATTATTATTATCGGCAGTGCGAGTCAAAATGTTAGTCTAAGAATATTCACTTTTCACTTTTTATTTGCGCTTTATGTGTTGTACATTGGTTGTCACTCGTCAAAAATTTCCCTTACTTTTTCTGCTCAATTATTTTAGAGATCAACGGGCCTTACTCGTTGAAGGGAACTTGACTATACCTACCCACATTTGACTTGACTTACTTAGTTTCCTATTTAGGTATTTGGAAACGGCATGTCTTTTTATCGGTGAACTTGTCTTTTGGTGTTCAAAATGCAAGCTGTCACTGCCGACTACAACAAACAACTTTCTAGACAACCATTTCCCGATATCATCAAAAATACAGTACGACTGAGCAGAAACAGCTCGACATCGACACCGACCTCGGCCCTGGGGTATTTCCCATTGTTGTGGGAGTTCTCTGCTCGGATATCTAGCAGTCGAATCGCTCAGATATCACCAAAAGCCGAGCGGCTGTCGGGAGCGGTCAGGACGGTGCGGGCCGCGGCGGGCGTGAAACTCGCCCGGCTGTTGGGCCCGGGCCAGGGCCAGCCGGCCGAGCCGGGCCGGGCCGGGCCGCAGCGGCTGAGCTCGATCGAAGTCTCCCATCTCCCGCCAGCCGACTATTCGGGGCTGTCGAGCGGCGGCCTTCGAGCCGCCCTGCTCTCTGCAGAGACGAATGAGCCGCGGCTCGAGGTCGCTTCAGACGGAACTCGAAAGCGGAGACAAATGTGGTGCGACTGTTGTCGTACAGAATGGATCGTGTAGAATGGATTGCTGATGTTCCGTCATTGTTGCAGGATGTGCTGTTGATGAGCGGTAATTGTCAGCTCACACAGCGTTCCTGATTTGCTCTAATTATTACATAGTGGTCCCGGGAAGGCGAACTAATCGAAGCTGACAAGCTCGGACGGCAGCGTACCGTGCTGTTCAGGTGATGACTTGTTGTATTCTCATTTGCACGTTCTATGACGAAGCATAAAAATTCTTTAACCATATGATTGCCTGTGCATTTCTCAGTATTCTCACCGAATTTGACGCGAATCTAATATATTCAGCGGTAAGGAGCGCGATGTAAAGACGGAACCGTCCCGCCCCGGCACAGTCTACAATTCAGGCGGCGCGTAACGGCTAGCGCCGGCCGCCGCGCCGCCGCGCCGCCGCGGCGGCAGGATGTTTGACTTTACACCGCTATTACTAGAAAAGTTGTGAACCGATTTTCTTACTTCTTGCACGATAAGATCCGCAATTCAATTCTGGACAGGTAGCCGAAATTTCACATTGATATTATGCTTGCGACGCGAGTTATTGGCGAAAAACAGGAGGGGTGGGCGAAATCCGCCCCCCCCCCTTCCACTGCGCGTGTTAAATACAACATTGCCCTTTAAATTCGGTAAGCACTGCAAGATGATGCCGTAACGTCCCTCTCTCGAACACCGAGCTCCCTCCCTCCACCCGCGCGCAGTCACGAGTTTTGTGCGTGACCAGAGGAAGTGGGTCAAACAGCTGGTATTCGTCGGCTCGTCGCCTTTTCCGCTCTCCACAGACCAAGTCCATGAGAAATAGACGAGCGAGGGAGATTGGACGGGACCACAGGCCACGCGCTGTCCAGCGAACTGGAACCAGGCGGCAAACGGGCAAATGGGACCGCTGGCACCTCGCCACGCCCCGATAACAGACTTCGGAGGGGAGAGAGATGGTGGCAGAAACGTGCGCACTACAAAAGGTGCAGGCTTAGGAGGGAAGATAATATACGTAGAGCGCCGTATTCAGCATATAAATGGAAGGAAGACATACACACACGGCGAAACATGGTCAGAATGTTCTTTATTTACAATCTACGGCAGAACGCCTGCCCGCAAAAGTCTTATTTTTCTGTTGGACCGAGTCCTTCAGGAGAAACTGCATTTTCACAAACAAAACAGGTATCTATCTGAATTTATGCCGGCTTGTCGGCGCATTTGGTCGGGAGTTTTATCGCCAGCGGGGCACCAAAGCGATCTCTCTGTGATGCAAAGCCATAAATTTCCCAAACTCTGCACCTTGCTCGGTTCTCCAGTCGCTCGCCCGCTCCCAGTCCGTGGGGAGAATACGTTGAAATATTATTTCATTGCCATCTTCCGAAGCTAGTTCAAGGGAGAGGTGGCACTCGGAAGCTTTTATGAGCGTCGTTTGGAGGTCAAGGTCCAAATCTATGAGTCTATGACCAAAGCCTCTGGGCTGTCAAATGCATATTGCCGCATGAGGATCATGAATCACATATATGAAGACACGAAAGGCGGATAGATCAAAGTGTGCTCATAGTCAGTAGGCAGTTGGTCGGCACATGATGGCTTCCCTTAGCCATGACGTACTGTGCCTCAGGCTAGTCAAACATCTGACAAGTAGCTCGCCTCAGCTTGTATATTTCACATGCAAAGTCCTCAGTCTGAACTTCAGTTATTCTTTTATAAGTCCGTAATGGCTTTCATCTGTGACAAACATGCATTGGCTCCTGCAGTCTGCATACCAGACTCAAAATAAGACGCTATCCGCACATTTAACCCTCGCCGGACCTATTGGTTTTCTACATACGCGCCGGCCGAGGGGGGGGGGGGCGGGTACGACCCCCCCCTCGCCGTTTCGCCCCTGGTGGAGCTAGCGCGTCGCGGAAAAAACGAGCGTGTGCGCCGTTACGAGACGCAGAGATTGGTACCCGATTTTAAGGTCCTAGGTCAACCGGTGACCTCTGAGGTCAGGTCAAGTGCCCCAAGGTACTGTTCAGTTTTTGGTGAATAACTTCGCAAAAAACGGCCGCAGAGCGCCGATTTTGGCAGCATCGTGTTCGTCTCGCTCAGGCGCGTCGAATGATATACTTTTTGTCCGGGTCAGGTCAACTTGGGGTGTTGACCTCAGGTCAAGGTCAGGTCAGCACCCCCAGGTCACGAAGTTGGTCGAAAGAGGTCATGTCGCATATCATTCGATTCGGCAGGTCTTCCTGAGTCCATTGGTGGCTTTCCCGACTCGCTAGCTCAATTTGATCAAGAGTTATTGACGAAAAACTAATATGACCTTGATGACGTCACAAATGACGTCACGCAAGGTCAACATTGCAAAAGTGACGCATCTAACCTTGCAAGGAGTGCATCAAATCACGATTCTGTGTGCTTGAGATAGTTGGAGATCGTTCCCGGCGCCAGAATAGCAGTTTTCATTTTTCCCCATTGACTTATAATGGTGAGGTCACGAAAATGACCTGACCTCATATGACCTTTAGGAAAAATCCGAGATATACAAGTTGTGGGACTCATAATGGATACTAGATCCTGCAAGTTTCATTTCCCTGTGACATCTCCTCTGGCAGTGAGGGCGTTGCGAAGTTGCGACATCTGAAGACCGTGCAGAGGTTCACTTATGACGTCATAGGTCAGTGACCTGACCTGACCCAAAAATGCGGTTGGTGTCAAAAGATGCGGCTTGGATCAAAGGTCAGGTATGCCGAGTTTCAGCTTGCTATCGCCATTGTGTTCGGAGCTATCGCGAAAAAACCCTATGGGGGGGGGCGGCACCCCCCCCCCTCGGCCGGCGAGGGTTAACGCAGTGGCTTTGTTTTTGTATGTCGCACAAACGCTGACTCCTGCCTTTATACATCCCACAGTCCCACACATTCAGTAGCCCAGCCCGTACGTTTGGCATTGCCTGTCGTCGTCAGGCAGGCTCTCGCTGTGCCATGCATTTGTAATCCGGCTCCCTGGAGAAATCGGCATACGGACCATCTCCCCAATCAGGGCCCATCTCCACCGAGTCGCGACCCCGGCCCGTCAGTCGAGCTCGCACACAGCCGGATCAGAAACGCAGCGGGGTCGTAGGTCGCACGGGGCAGCTGAACGAAAAATGTTATACACTTCTTAAAAGCACAAATCATAGGCTTGCGAAAAAAAACATGTGGATTCAGAAGTACCAGTGCGACTATTTCTTTTCTT